ACCTACGCGTCAACCAGTCCAGAAATGACTGCACAGGGACTGTGATCCAGGAGATCCTCCCTGGCCATGAAGCACTGAGGTGTCTCTGCCTTACAAGCTCAGCGCGATGCTTTATCCTTGCAGTAACCCGACTGTGGAGCAGTGAATGGCCCCGAGGAAGGCCCCAATTGACTTGGTGTCAACATGAGACGAGCTATGAGACACTGCAACCAAAAGGTCTCAGCAGACTCTCTATCCCCCAGCAAGGCTGGATGTCATCACCTTGCTGATGCTATCGTGCATCTCGGCCACTTGTGGCAAAGGCCACGCTCAGCCATGGACACATGCATGGAGGCAGCCACCTCTGCTGAATTCACTGGCATGAATGACCCAACCTGTGGCACTCAGACCCTCAGGGCAGAAGGTTCTTTAGGAACTTTCATTTATGTCCATATTGAGCAGCCATTTGTCCCAGCAAAGACTTTTAATAAACACACTGGCTTCCTATTAAGTAGATTTTTCATGTCCATAGCAAATAAACCCACAATTGCTGAAGATACTCTTATTTACTGCAACTACCAGCATTAACAGCACAATCAGACCAGCATGTTGTTTCTGCTTATTCCTTGAAGAATTATCTCTTAGTAGATGGGTAATCAAGAGCCAGCACAACATTAAAAGCAATCAGAAAAATAAGAAATTGTCAAATTAATTCATGTTTAGCCTATTTAACAAGGCAAGGCCTTTTATATTGCTTCCTACAAAGGATGAAATCACGATCACTTCACTTTATAAAACAGACATGGATGGCATGCAAAGGCATGTTTAAAGACTTAAGATAGAGTATGTAACACAGCTGGTTAAATATGATGAGCAAGTCTCAAGTTTCTCCCTTATTTTCTGACATTCAAATTTCAACACAACTATTAGCTTGCCATTCATCCACCCGTAAAGAGATGAAGAATTAAAAATAGAAGCATTCCCCTCCAGTAAATGACAGTGACTCAGTAACTTCTTCATCAGTCTACACACAGGAGTAATCAAACACACAGAAAGATGCTTGGATTTATAAATAACCAGTTAACACTAAATTCTAGCAAAGAAATCCCAGAGAAACAAACAGAAAACAGATCCATCACCCAGAGATCTTTGATGTATTTTACAGAGACCTGGTGGGTAATAAGCCTGCAATTATTTTCCAAGCAAAATGTGACTGTCGTAAGAATTCAACGTGGAAAAGCAGCAATTCCTCCCAAGCAGTGAAATATCTGAGTTTGGCTGAAACTGCATTGGCCATCTACTTTCTAGAAGCTTTTGCACATATGGGAGGCAAACTTTGTTTAGCATGAGACTTCATTGCCTTGTTCCAGTGATGGCGTGACCCAGCTTTGCTTTCAAATCGCCCTCCAGAAGCATGAAGGTGTCGGCATCTCAGTGACCTGCACAGGGTAACCCAAAGATTTGGTGTGATGCAACACAGCAGCAGAGCTTCAAGGGAGGTCCAGGCCCCTCATGCACATGTACCTGCATGTTAGCGCAAGTACTTCACAATACTCAACAGCAACACATTCCTCCAGCTCCCAGCTAAGAAATCGGTTTGCAGAAGATAAAATTATTAACTTAGGGAGAATATTTTCATCAGAGCACACTGACACAGGGGGTGCTTCCCCTGGGATGGCAGAGGAACTTGTACGTTCTGCTGCTCTTCACGCAGCATGAATTAGGGCTCACCATCTGTTTTTTTGCACAAAGCAAGCTGACATGCAAAAAAGAGAGAAGCAACTTCTGCAAGAGCAGAAGCAAAATGGGAGTTGGTCCCTCAAACCCATCAGCCCGCAGAGGGCCAGGACCATGCCCTGCCCCAGCACAGCACCTTCTGCTCTCATCCATCAACACCTCCAGATGGAAAACGACACTGCTGCCACCCCTGGGTTGCTGCCTTACACAATGCTGTGTGTCCTCATCCCTGGGATATCGTTAATAATATCAATAATAAAAAAGAAATGAGTAAGAACAATGACTACTTTGGGTCCTGGACACAGTGTTCTAGCTGGAGCTTGGTGTGACATCCACGATGAACACTGACAGCTCCCATTAAAGGATCCTGACTTTAGTTGCCTATAACTTTGCCAAATTTTAACTATTCTGACTGAAATATATCCTAGAACAGCTCAAGCCCACCTGCAGTTAATGCAAAGAGACATCATGTCTAATGGTGTCACGATGAGTCTGTGAGGTAAACTTTTAATCTCCAAATGCATTATGACAGAAGGAAACGGGGAAAAAACCCAGCTTCTAACTTTCATTACACAAACTCCAGGCTTTTTCAGCTGATAACTTCATTTCAAAGGTGATTAGCAAAACTGTGCCTTAATTAGCAATAGATTTCCCATTTAACAGCTTTGCCTTATCTTCAACCCCCTCCTTTCTTTTAAAAGTAACTTCCTAAGTTAAAGGAAAAACACAATTACCCAGGGCAGCTAAAATAATACAGAAAGTATCAGAACAAAGCCCTAAATAATAAAATCGAGAACCATCAAAAAAGGCAAAGAAATAATAATTTCTCCACATGCTCCCCTCGTATAGTTCTGAGAGACCGCACCTCTCCAAACTATTCCTTTTGTCAGAAGAAACAACACTTTCACAGATACATTTCCAGCTATGTATCTGAAGCTGTTTCTGTCCTTTCTGTCCCTGTTTTGGCTGTGCTCGATCCCACATCCCTGCAGGACACCATGGGAGGACATCCCCAGGGCCAAGCTCCCGCTGTCATGTCCTGGTCCCTGAGATGGCAGAGCAGCAAAGGGCTCAGGAATGGGATGTGGGAGTCACTCCCCAGACCCTCGGTCACTCCTTGTGTCCGAAGCAACAGCAGAGACGGCACCCAAGCAGTCAATGCTGCCCTGGGGGAGGGCAGCCCAAGCCAAACTCCTCACCCCTGGGCAGTGGGGTCAAGGGTTCCCACAACGATGGCTTGTGCAAGGAGAGGTCAACACACCGCGGTTTGGGAGCAACCATCCCTTAACACTTAAATTCCCTCTTGAAGAGAGAGGTAATACAGTATCTGCCTGTTACTTAAGCATCCTCAGCACAGTGGTGTGTTAGCCTTACTCCTCTGGAAACTCTCAATAGCTTGGTACTTACAACAAGTGTAACGTAGCTGCAGCACCTTTACTCCCCTGGCACAAGGTCCTTGTAATGTAGCGGTGACAGACACACACACCACAGCGAGCCAGCTAAATCCCAAAACTGGTAAATAAACATCTCCACCCCATTAGCTGATGCCTGTTCAAGGGTGACAATCAGAAGCTGCATGACTCACACACAGTAAGCTGGGTAATATTTTATATATTTTTTTAATATATATCTACACACCACCATTAGCTGATGTCTGTTTATCAGTGACAATCAGGATTTGCATGACTCACAGCAAGGTCGATAATATTTTAAATATATAAATATATACATATACACACTCTATCCTGTATCATCACTAAAGTGCTCCTTCAAGCTATTGTGAATGCCACTATCTCACAGTAATCACAGCAAGAACTTTAGTAGAAATGTTAAGCTGAAATACATGAACATGAGTTA